ACCTCTTCCAGCTGGTCTTGTTCAGAGAACCGGATCTCACTGAGTGCAGAGATGTCCACCTTGTAGCGCGCCAGTTCCCGAGAGACTAGTGCCGTCCTCCGTTCCGGCCGGCTGCTCCTGAAATTATCTCAAGGGGACGAACATTTCAGGTCGCCAAAATGAGCGGACTTACCCTAGCAGCCCGTGCGATGGGGCAGAGGGGAGGAGGAGGAAGAAGAGAGGGAGTATTGTTTCTGTTTTGATAGATTCGACCGCATGTTTTGCAGTCTGCAAGCCACGGTCTGCGCGCAGATGTCATGAACCCAGTTTTGTTTAGGGACCTTTTATAGCCCCCTCCCCCTCGAGAGGGTAAGCAGTTCTCTCTCTCTGAATAGGGCCGCTTAGTCGCACCGGGCGGATCCGGTTTTCTAATATGGGTTACTAGGTTTAATAATGAGAGAGCAACCAGTGGCCTGGGCCGCCTACGTGATTGCATGTTGCTCTCGCCGTAGGACCTGTCCACCGTGGGAGAGAAGAGTAGGTTGGGGAATAGAAAGGACGGGGATAATAGGGAGGGGGGAAGGGAGATGGAGAAGCGGGAAGGGGAGAGGAAGGGCGGAGGAGAAGCGATGTGGAGGTTGGAGGAGAATGAGGGGGAGATGAAGAGAAATACCGTACTCGGGGATACACACGAATACCCGCACCTGGTCTAGCCCGCCGGTCGAGGCAGAGTCTATCTTCGTGGAGCCATGGGTGAGAGTTGTGTGCCAGTTAATGAACGCTAGGCGTAGTCAACAACTGCAAGTGAGCAAGTGAGCGACCTACTACGACCTTCACGTAGACCCACAGCTGGACACCCCTACACCCTCAACCTGACCAACAGGCTGTCCCGAGGCATGAATGTCCTCACACCTGCCCCCGAAACAACGCCCGCCCAGCCGTACATTTCTCGGAGAAACTGGCGGCACATGACTTCACACAGACGAGGTGATCGATTGCTGCTTCTGTAAACATGAACCAAAGCATGTCTCAAGTCTTCTTATGAACTTCAAGCATCTTTTTGGCAGTTGTGAATCATAGTCCACAAGCCACAGTTGCCACAAGCCAGTTACCATTCCAGTCTCCCTTGTCTTTGTCGGTAATATCATATATATATACTTGCAGAACTAGTCTTACAACGACTAGAACAAGATGTTGTGCAAAGTTTCCAACCAAAAACGTGGCTCAGATACGTAGATGACACATTTGTCATCGTTAAGACCTGCGAAGTTGGGCGATTTCACCAGAGCTTGAATGGCGCCTTCCCAGCACTACAATTCACTCGTGAAGATGCAAAAGGAGGCACCCTCACGTTCCTAGACGTGAGCATACAAAAGCTCAGTGACGGCGGCATCGCAACAAGCGTTCATCGGAAAAGCTCTGACGCTGAGATCATCCTGAGCTATCAGAGTAACCACCCAGCAGCCCATAAAAGAAGCTGTGTTCGCACCCTTTTCCACAGGGCCTATCGTTACTGCAGTAGCGCCAATTTACTCAAAGATGAACTGGCCTACTTGAATCGCTTTTTCCGACTCAACGGATGCCCGGCGAGCTT